AGAAGTTGAAAAGATAGTACAGTGTTAGTTCTCCTAGTGTTAATACTTTACAAATCATAGCATAGTTGTGATAAGAAATTATCCAAGGGGTAATATTATTAACTAAGCTGCAGACTTCATTTGGAGGCTCCTAGTTTTTTGTTTGTTTGTTTTTACTAATACCATTTTCCTGTTCCATGACTCAATCCAGGACAACAGGTGACTTTTAGCTCTCATATCTCCTTAGTCTCCTCCAATCTGTGATTGTTTCTTGCTCTTTGTTTATCATGACTTTGTCAATTTTCAAGAGTACTGGGGAAGATTACTGCAGAATGTCCCAACTAGTGATATTTAAAAAAAAAAAAAAAAAACACAACAAAGCAGAATTGGAGGCAAGTGTTAGGTTGTAAAAGTTATACAAGTAAACGCTATGAGTAAGGTCACTGTGTTGTAAGTACAGAAAACCCACTCTGAGCTATCCTGTCAAGCAGAATTTATTGGTTCATGGAACTAAGAAGGCCAAGGGCACATATGGACTCGGAATAGCATTCATTCATGTCCTGTTTTGCCGTGTCTCGTGTCTTAATTCTTCTCTCCTCTGAAATGTCAGGTATTTGTCAGACAAGCACTTACTACTTACAAGATGGCTGCCTGCAGCCCACATGACTATATCCATCCTATGCGCACATGCACATGTGTGTTTGTGTGTGTGTGTGTGAGAGAGAGAGAGACAGAGAGAGAGAGACAGAGACAGAGACCGAGACAAAGACAGAGAGAGACTGAGACTTCTCCTTGTTCCGGTTTTCCCGCTAAGTTCTCCTTGGCTCTGATTCTATCATCTACCTATCCTTAAACCAATGGGAAAATATAACCCCCTTTCTGCTTCCTATGTGAGGTTGTGTTATCTAGAATTGAGGACATCATCTTGTGACCATGAGAGGAGCAAACTGACAGCTGACAAGGACATAAGAATCTTTTTTAAATAAAGATTTATTTTTATTTGTTTGTGCATAGAAGAATTGGGGTATAGGCCAGAGGTGCGGGGGGTGGTGGTGAGAGGATTCACCAGAGACAGAGTGGGGAGCAGAACAGGAAGATTGAAATACACTGCTGAGGGGAGCAGCCGGTGAGGCAGGAGAGTCTGCTGCACCATGTGGGTTAAGTCCTTGGTGGGGGATCAAACTCATGCCTCAGTGGCTAGTGATAGCTTCATAGCACTGAGACTTTAACCCCTGCACCACCAGGGAGGTCCCAGACTCAAGAATCTTTTCTTTTTTTTAATTTTATTTTATCTATATTTTACATCATTTTTCTTTTTGTACATTGTATGCTTTCTCCTCTTAGGTGTAGTCCCTGTAAAATTCCCACCACCAGTTCACTCATGCACCATAGTCCCTTGTGCTGTTCCCTCCCCTGTTTTGATCCCTTTCCCTCCCCCAACCCCCAATAGCCCTGATTTTGTTTTTTAATTTATTATGATTTTTTTTTCCTGATCCCTTATTTGGTTCCCTTACATTCCTTCTGTAAGTGAAACCATTCAATTTTTCTTTTTGTTTCTGGTTTATTTCACTGAGCATAACCCCTTCCAGCTCCATCCATGTTGCTGCAAATGGCAAGAGTTTGTCTTTTTTCACTGAGAAATAATATTCCATTGTGTATACATACCACATCTTCTTGATCCAGTCATCAATTTTTGGGCATTTGTGTTGTTTGCATGTCTTGCCTATCATAAATAGTGCTGCAATAAAGGTAGGGATACAGGTATCCTTTTGAATTTATGTTTTTATGCCCAGACACAAGACACAAGATTCTTAAAGGTAGATAAGAATGTCTTTTCTGAATAATATCAATTAATCAGGGAATTAAACAATCCTGGATTTGAGTTGGTTATATAAAATAATAAATTCCTTTATTACTTAAGCTTCTTTTAGCTGAGTTTCCTATTACTTGCAACCAAAAGTTTCTCTTTCTCAAATGATACAATGGTATTACAGGTTTCTCTGTTAGATATAGGCTATTACCTTGAAACAGGGTTTTTTGGGGTGGGAGAAGGACTTCTGTATTTGACAGCACAATACAAAATGAAGTTCAATATATTCTGGTTCATAGTTTTCATCAGAGTCATTACTGAAAAATACAGCTTCATGTAGGCATTTTGGCAAAACAGAAGCTATACACTTTTATTTCCCATAATATAGGGTTTATGAGTAATAGCTGCAACATTTCTGGTTGCTTATTCTCCTGAAGGCTAGCAGCAAGTTGTGGAGACAGGCCAAGGAAGGGACAGAAAGAGGTGGGGGGGGTGTTTTGTGTGGGGAGCTCCTCACTCAGAACTCATCCAGTATGTAGGCCTCTCTCCTCCAAGGGGTACAGTCTGGGTTGGTCCAGCAGGGATACCCTGCCTGGAGAACACTTTCTCAGGAGAAATATCTAGGGGCCCTAGGCTGAGATGAACTTATCTATGGCCCTTTCAACTCAATCAGGCTAGTTCTGTGGTACAAAAGGTAGAGACCACCAGTAGGGCCCCTTCCTTCTGCTATAATTATCACTGAGATAATGAAAACCTGAGTGCTAAAGCTCTTTTTAAAAGAAATAAAGGTTCTTAAAATAATAATTAAAAAAACTTTAAAAATCAGAGATTTAAAATATGTAATTATCACTGAGAAAATAAAAACCAGTCCATGGTTTCCCACTAAAGAGAACTTTTCAAGGGCTAAAGGAACGATAATTTGGAAATGAACTGGCTTCTCCCACCTTTATGCCCTCTGCACTCACTGCTTTAATGATGTATATGAAGAGTTTTGCTTGTCCCTCTAGCTTTTTAAAATGAAAAGTTTCTACTCTTCTACTGCTTCCATGCCTCCCACACACACTTTCTCACGAGCAGATACATACTTACATGAATACTCTCAGACCTCTTGTGGATCCACATATTTTGGGCATGTACATAAAGTCATTTATGGGGGTTTGCTCCATGAATCATAAACAGAAGATTCTCATTAGGAATGGGCAGTGGCCTCTTTAAGCCCGCATAGTATTTGAAGGTGGAAAACTCTCAACATTTTATGGGAGGTTCATAGATTCACAGCAGACTCTGCATTTTAATATTCAGAACTTAGATCTGCTACTAAGCCCAAGAGGTGACAACGTGACATAATAGCAGCATTGTATTCGGGATCTGATGTAGATGAAGCTGTCAAAATTATGCACTAAGAAAATGAATGACACATTCTCCCATTTTTAAGGACTGCATAAGGGAAACAGAATAACGAGTTACAAAGCAGCGCTTTAGGTAAAAATTAATGACTTCAGGATAAACAGTAAGTATTGCTGGATTTAGTGCTGATATAAGTCTTAAGTTTCCCTGTAATAAGTAAACTTCAACAGGGTCGTGGTCAGTCGTGTGGAGATCTGTTATTTTTTAGGGAATGACATTTCACCTTTAGTGTAAAACTGGCTCCATTTCTGAGCCTTCTTGGGGGTTGTTGTTTTCAGCAGCCCACACAGCCCTCCTGCCTGGGCACTCACTCCCTGAGAGGCTTGTTCTTTGCCTCTTGCTCTCAAATTAGTTTTACTGAAATCCTATCTTTATGTGGGTCAGGGCTTCCTTTTTCCTTAAAAACTTTTTTCCACTTTAAAAACAAACACAATAACACCCTCCCATTTCCAGAAATTCCTTGCACTTCTTATTTCCTGTTGGCTTATTTAGGGGCATTTTTTGCTGATGAAGTTTCAAGATGATTTCTTCAAACTGTTATAAAGTTATGTAACTTTGCTGATTTTAAAGTATCTTCTTTGCTAAACTCTTAACTGTTGAGCCTCTTTCACTTTTTGAAACAAGCTCCTTCTTAGTTACCACTAGCTCCAACCGTTAAACTAGAGTGAAGTTTATGTCCTGTTGATCTTGGTTTTGAAGAATGCCAATCCCCATTTTCTGATACCAGAATCAATGCTCCTCTACTCTGTAATAATCATTATTATCTCCTATTTTAATCCTGCCGATTCATACTACTTCCTTGTGGACCCCAAGGGTCAAGTATGGACCTGCTTCTGGGTTCCTGCCCTGATTCTGCCCGGTCTCCCCTTCTGCCAACCAAGGAGCCTACAGTGGATGTCTTTATGGTCACTTTGGTCCAGGCCCTGACTCTGTCCAGGCATGATACTAAATCATTGTATTTCTAACAACCTCAGAAAATTCTGGAATCACTGGGTTATTTTCTTTTATTTTTCTGCCCAGTAGCTCTAAAAATTTCTTCCTTTCATTACATGAATCTTTTCCCATTCCATTAAGGCTCTCTTCTTCACTCATAAGAATAGCTACATTTGCCTGTGATGGATGTAGAATGCTTCTTTTATTTATAAATGCTGTCTGCCCTAAAAATTCATTTTTTTTTCCAGAACAAAGCTTTCACACACAATGACATGGTGCAAGAAGGATGGGGTTGCTTTGAGGCAGACAGACTCATTTGCTGGGTGATCTTGGCTCTTGGATTTGCCTTTTCCCCATCTGTAAGGTGGGGACCTGGTGACCCCAGCCCCAGGGCTGTTGTGCGGCAGCATTGCTGTCATGCACCGGAATCCTGCTCAAGGTGGCTGTCCTCATAGTATGTACATCATTATGTTGCAGCCTGTTGCAGCTACGCAAGGTCAGCAATCTGGCTGTGCTCGGCACCCTCAGGAGTAGCTTTAGACCCCAATGGAATCCTTGCTGGCATGAAGCAGGCTATAAATAAATGAAAAGAATAAAGTGAAAATAGAGAGAACCTAGCTCCCCTTGATTGCGCTATGATGCTGGGCAGACAGCATTCATTCCGAACACTGTGGCTTCTTCCTCTCCTTCCTCTCCCCAACAAGCGCCCCCCACCCCCCAACACCTCACACTACCCCCTCCTCCGTTTAAAACAAAAAAACTTTCCTGAACTTTCCCATTCCTCTGTGGCCTGGCTGAGAATGCTGAAATTCCATCTTGTGTTTGTTGTCACCCGCGGGCCCATTTCCATGGTTACCCAGATTCCAGGCGCTGGCCCAGGGCCCACCACAACCCATCCCTCAAAGTCTCCTTGGCTGAGGAGACACATTCCTCCTCACTGCAGACGCCAGCGCGAGACGTGCTCTCCTCCTGACCACAGCCCCACCCGGCCCCTGTTGTGTGTCATGTGCGCGTTCTAGATGGTTCAGTATCTTTGGGGAGGGGGGCGGAGGAGGGGAGTAAGCACAATGTAATAATTTCCTTCATTTCTCTTTTGCTCATTTAAGCTGAGGAATTACTTTCTTGTACCAAATATTGCATCCTTGGCAAATTGTCCAGATGGTTCTCATTAAAATTCCAATTCCTTTTTCTGCAATTCCATCCCCCAACCTCCCTCCAGTTCAAACTACTCTCTCAAAAATAAACACCAGGTTGAGGACTGAGTGAGGGGTTCTAAGTGTACCGGTTGGAATGAATGAAATCTTTCCTAGCCCCCTGATGGGACCCTGAAGGAGCTCCCACCTCTTCCTCTTACCCAGTGGCCACCTCACCCGCTCATGGAACTGACATAGAAATTCACCTTGGGTGGGGGGGAGCATACTTGATGTTGCCATGGGTTTAGCCATGGTTTCCTGCCTCTGCAGGAAGAGCAGGGACAGTTGGGTTCCTGCTCCTCAGCAAGCCCAGGCCCTGAGCCTGCAGAGGGACCAGGGAGTTGGTCACCTTCCCCTAGTTAGCGCACATGGAGGTCTCTGCAGGCTGCTCATGACTCTGGTCACAGAAGTGAGAGACACTTGCTCTCAGAAGCCAGCGGGAAGGACGGCCAATGCCTTTTGGCCATAATTGCAGCTGAGCAAGCCATAGGCTTTGCTCCCACATCTGGAAAAATCTGCTTGCATAGGAAAAGTGTGTGTGTGTCAAAGGATGTGTATTTGATGTGCTTTTACTTCTAGTTTTATATTACAAAAAAAAATGACTAACTACAGAAAAGTTGAAAGAATAGTATAATTAAAGCCCTGTCCCTCCACTTAGATTCAACAGGTTACATTTTTGTCACATTTGCTTTCTTTCTCTTTCTAGATAGATGATAGATCGATGAATCCATCTCTTCTTTTTGCTCAGACATTTGAAGGTTGGACTCTTGCCTATATAGTGTTTTATAGCCTTTTAATTTATGTAGTAATATAATTATAGGACATATAAATATATTCTTGTAAAATATTCAAACATTGAAACAGAATAGAAAATTAGAGAGTAGAAGCAAAAAAAAAAAAAAAAAGCCTTGCACAGGCCCTCCTCAGCCCACCTTCCCGGCCTGAAGCATAGCTGTTTTGTGTCCTTCCCTCCTTTGTCTGTTTATGCAGACGTAGGGCCCTGTTTATGCAGGCGTAGATCTCTGTTTAAATAGAAACATATACTTTTGTTATATGTGTTTTTAAACATAATTGAGATCACACTACACACAATGTTTTGCAGTTTGTTCTTTGCTTGGAAATAAGTTTGAGAGCTTTCCATGTTAGTACTTGGAACTCTGCCTTATTCTTTGACTACTCCAGAGTATTCCAGAGAATAGCTGTATAATCAGTTTCTTAACTATTTCCTCTTGATTTCAGCTATTTAATATTATTTTTCCATTATTCATAATGAGGTAGTTAATATCTGTGGAAAATATTTCTTTAAGGTTATGTAGTAGTATTTTTCTTTGACAGATGCCTAGAGGTGGAATGCTGGCTTGGATGCCATGCACGTTTTACATTTGCGTAAATACTGCCAAACTGCTCTTTAACACACACAAACTGCTGCTTCAACACACATAAGCCCCAAGAGAGCCCAATTCCCACCACCTTCACCAACGGTGAATTTTATCAATCTTTTTAAGTGTTCACATTCTGATGAATGAGAAATGATTTCATTGTTCATTTAATTTGCATTTCTTTGATTATTAGTAAGGTTAGTTATAGTGTTGGAATTCATGTACAGATGACAATGAAAGCCACTCTGGATAGTTTCTGTAGCTTAACAAGTAGAAAGAAGGTGGGGAAACTGCTAGAATCGGGAAATGTCAGATCATGTGGAAGAGCAGGTACTAGGTTAAGATTCTAGAACTGATTCCCAGAACTCCCAATGAAGCCATTTATCAAAGGAGCTGCCTCTTCTGCCATGACCAGGAAATGGGATTCTGGAATTTGTGCCCCAATTGCTGACTTGGCAATGTGAAAGAAAGGAAGATCTCCAGGACCACACTGCCTCAGCTGCCTGATGAATGCCAAGTTCTGCCCATGACACCCACAAAGCTGGAGCCAGCATCCAGACACCAAGATTTCGCCTATGTTGATGCAAGAAAAAAAAAAATAAAGCCCAAATCAAATTAAAAATTAAGAACTCCCTTAATGCATGTGCTATCAGAGTCTGATTTCTTGAGAGGAAGCTAGGTCCCATGCAGAAGCTCAGCTCTAAGGGGGCCTGGGATTTGTAGGTATTAGTTTTTCAGGCTTGAGCATGCAGGTAAGCAAGCTAGAGGTAGTAGGCATGGAGTGAATCAATCTGAAATGTCTGCCAGAATCATATTTTCATGTTTTATGTCTTTTTTCCCTTGTGAATTATCTGATGATAACTATTGCCTTTTTTTCTGTTTGGGTTATCTTTTTCTTATTAATTTATAGAAGCTTGATGGATTTTCTGAAAAGTAACATTTTATATTATATTAATATCCCCTTCTATTCTTTGTATACATTAAGGCTACCTTCTTTCAATGTTATAAGTTTCATCATATAGAAATCTCAAGTATATATATTTTTATATTTTCTGGTTACTAGATTTTGTAGCTTAAATAAGAAGGCCTCCCTTATTTCAAGATTCCTAAAGTATCCAACTACAATTTTCTCCTAACACCTTTATTTGTTTATATTTAATTCTTTAAATCATCTCTAACGTGGTGTGAGATAGGGCTCTAACCTAATTTTTGTTTTCCCAAATGGAAAACCAAGTGTCCCAGCATAATTTATTGAATGAACATATTTGATCGTACATTAATTTTGCAGAAATTTAAAAAATATAGTGACAGTTTAGCTTTTTTGATGCAAAATCGAGGTAAAGCTTAAAAGGATTAAATTGTCACTTCACACTTTGTTTCTCTTTAAAATAGGGCTTGCCATTTCCTAAAGGAGATATATGACAAGTTAATTCCCCTAATAAAAAAGGGACCTTGATTTAATTAAGGTTTAATTAATCTCTGTTGACTAGCCCTCTGTCTCCTCAGCATCCCTGCCTTGGGCCTTTCCAATCTTAAATCCTTGCTTCTTTCCTAGAAGGGAGGGCACATAATTTGGTTTGGCTGACAAAAGCAGAAAACATGTGCGGCTATCTTTGTCAGCATTTTCTTTATGACATTGTAATAATCTATTTAAGATGCTTCTCTCACCTACTGGCATTTTCCAATGTGGTCACTATTAGAATTTTGTATGGAACAATTCTTTATTGCAGTATATTAAAAAGCTCTGGCCATTAAATGAAGAGTGTACTCTGACACCCCCCCCCTTCTTTACTATCCCAGTCATTGTGACTACCAAAAAAATTTCCCACACTTTCCGAACATACCAGCTCTGCCTCTTAGTTGGAAGGAAGGGAGAGAGGGGGTGGGAAACTGGGAATGAATCAGAAATGACAGGACATCATCACCAGAAGACACCTTCCCAACTTTTTGTTTAATCTCTACTTGGCTTTCAGAGACTATCTTTTCCACAAAGTTTCCCCAAATTCCTTTAGCTGTAGTTCTATTCTTTTTCTAATTCCCCTCCTCCATGGCATTATCTTTGTATCTCCAACCATCCAGTCATCCATCTGCCTGTCCATGCATCCATTTGTCCATCTATAGTACTTATTTACTAAGGAATTACTGTGCCCCAGGCACACTGGCCTCTTTCTTGGATATGGCCCCATGCCTAAGTGTCTTAACTGGTTTAACATATTGTTATCGCAAGTAAAAATCTCATGTCTGATCTACTTTGTATCTCCCAGAGTGCTTTGCATGAGCCTGTATTCCTGCTGAATGCTGGTGGAATGAAAGCTGCTGAATACTAACAGAAGTTTTAATGTACATTCCAAACCTTTATTCAAAGGCAGTAAAAAATTTTTTAAAAGTGCTATTCTGATCTTCACAATATTTACATTATTATTTAAAGACAATTACCCATCATCACACCACCTTTTCAGAGAAAGATAAGGATGTGACAATTTTCCTCTCAGCTATTCGAATCTTGTTTCTAGAGGTGATAATGGCTGGCAGTAGTTTGTGGTGTTTCCTTCAATGAAAAAAAAAAATGTTTTTTTTCAAATTTACATCCAGATATGCCTATTTGCACCATAATTATAAGAAAGTTAACACATATTTTAAGAGCTGGATGAAACATGAATTTGAGAATAAACTACAAATATACACGTAAAAATTATGATGTTTAAGTCTATGCAGTTTTTTTATAACTATCAAATATATTTTTTAAAGATTTATTTATTTATACATACAAGAATCGGGGTACAGGCCAGAGTTTTTTTGGGGGACGAGAAGATTCACCAGAGACAGAGTGGGAAATAGAACAGGCAGATCAACTGAAATACACTGCTGAGGGGAGCAGCAGGTGAGTCAGGGGAGGTCTGCTGCGCCATGTGGGTCACCTCCTTGGCCGGGGATTGAACTTGTGCAGTAGTGGCTGTGGGGAGCTTCATAGGTTGCATCCTAACCCCTTGTGCCACCAGGGAGGCCCGTACCAAATACTTTTAAACACGTTGTATTCATCTCACTTTCTAGCCCTTTGAAGTAAGCTTTGAGAGGTTGATAGTCAGGCTCCTGGCCATGCTGCAGTAAGGGGATAGCTAGAACTGGAACCTACATTTTCTGCATCCTAATTCATTCTGTTTCTACTGTACAAAATAACCCTTGAGGATTATTTAGCAATGATTGTTTACATAATAAAATTATTTTTTTGTTTGGCTTCAGAGTCTCAATGTAGAATTTCTTTGAAATGCTTAAGTGTTTTATTACGTTGAAAACAAAAATGATTATTATTTATCAGGTGATCACCATGTGCCAAAACTGATCTGTGCACTTTGCTGGCATTATCTCACTTAATCCTCTAATAACCCTATCACATAAGCAATATTAGCAGCCCTATTTTCAATGAGGAAACCGAGGTTCAGAAAGGTAAATAACTTGTTGAGGGATGGGCAGCTGGTACACACTACGCTTTTTTTAAAAAAAGATTTATTTATTATTCATGCATACATATACTTGGGTACAGGCCAGAGATGTGGGGGGTGAAAGGATTCACCAGAGACAGAGTGGGAAACAGAACAGGTAGACTGACTGAAATACACTGCTAAGGGAAGTAGCAGGCGAGCCAGGAGAAGTATGCTGCACCACGTGGGTAGCTCCCTGGCCGGGGATCAAACTCATACTGTAGTGGCTGCGGACAGCCTCATAGGTTGCGTCTTAACCCCTTGCGCCACCAGGGAGGCCCTACACTGGATTTTGAACCTAGGTCCTTCTGTCTCCCAAGTCTGTAATCTAACCACTCTATGTTGCAGCAATCGTGTATTTTGCTTGTGTGTAACTTTATTCTGTAGAGTAAGAAAAGATGCAAACTTGATATGTGTTCCTCAGATAAAGTAGTTGCAATATGAATGAAGAAAAATAAGTCAACTGTATGAACTATCAATGTAATATTTAGATACATGCTTGAATTAAGAGAGGGAAAACAGCAAGAGAAATAGGAACATGCAAAAAGATTGATTGATTGCGCAAGTGAAAAAGAGAAACTGGGTGAGAGGTAGGCAGCAGTGAATGGGAGGAGGGCACTAGAACTGCAGCCCCCTCCACTTCGGCTGGGTCCAGACTACCTGGGGATCTCCCATGCAACCTGGGACTCATTATTCTTGTACTCTGGAGCTGCCCGTACTCCTCTGTTGCTAGCACCTAATCTCCCCAAGCACAAAGCTGTGAGTGGAGAGGAGGGAGTATGTCAACATCACAACATCTCCATAGTCCTGAGTGTGAGTCCCTGAGGGGAATTGGAGGACAACTGAGAACACACACACCAGGGAGATGGGAACGGACAGAAGGTTCTCAGCGGGCAGGCTGTTTCTCTCCGGGTCGGGTTAGGGGCGGTTATGTGGGTCTTAGTTGATGACAGATGTTAGGACATGCCTGTTGGGAAAGAGGCGAGCAAGAGGCTGCCACCTTGCTCATCCTCAAGAAGTCCTGCACAGTTAGATTGTGTGCCAGTGAGTACCAACTATGAGTGTGGTGGCAGGGACAAGGGAATTGCTTTGAGACTAAGATGCCAGGTGGGGAAGAAGTAAGGACAGAGATGCCAAGAGAGTGGAGGCAAGATCACGGCCTGGTTGGAGGAAAACCCCTTTTGCCCTTGGGAGGTGGCACCACGATAAAGGGGATCTGAGTCACCAGGGAAGGCTTGGAATAACTGGGATGGGTTTATACATCAACCTCCCTCACTTCCTTTCCAGTCATTTTGTTGTTTTCAAATTCTCCACCCTTTGCCGGCTCCTCGCCTGCCCATTAGATCCGGTTTGTGTTTGTGTTGTGTGTATATGTGCACAATTGGCTCTAGGTAAGAATAATATTAGCTAAAGACATAGGAAATTATGACTGATGATTTTTGACCAATTAAAATATTTTTTTTCACATGGTTCGACACAAAAGAGTTAACTAAAATAAAAGCCTAGGTAGAACCCTTCACGAATGCATGTCTTGACCCCTGTTCCCCACTCTGTAATTGTCTTGTATCTTATTTCAGTAAGCGCATGACTGAGACAACAGTCGCTTGTACCCAGAGCTGTGGTAGTTGACTAAGAGCCAGATGAAATTTAGCAAGGCCATATCTGGAGAATGGGTGAGATTCTTGCTTCAAGTTTTTAGATGTCCAGAGAACTTGTCTTACTGCTTGCCAGTGTTTCTACATCTATCCCTTACCCTGTGGGTCAGTTAGGTTAGTGTACAGGTGGCGAGATCTTCATAGAACTCAGCTGAGCTCAGAAAACAATTTCAGCAACTGCACTGTAAGGTTTTGTAAGGAACCAGGGGAATTCAGGAGGCCTCAGCAAGCCTGGAGGGCTGCTCCAACTCTCCACCTGCCACTCCCCTGGATCTGCCTGCTTTTCTGCCACCGCCAAGGCCAACACTCACAGTACCTTGAATTCTCACTCCCAAGGTGAGGGCACCTGCTGGGCCAAGTGAGTTACCATTCAACATGGATAACTGTGGGTGGATGACAGACATTCAAGGACCAGCTGCAGAGTTTATGGGGTCAGGAGCAAAATGAAAACATGGGCCCTTATTCAAAAATCTAAGATTATGAGCTACAAGACAGTTACAGCAGGCTTCTGAGTGCAGAGTCCTGTGTGATTACACAGGGGAAGAGGCCATGAAGCCAGTCCTAGCTGGCTTAGGGGCAGAGGCCACAGAGACAAGCTATGTAGTCTCCTTAAGAGACCACCCAACTGTCTTGCCAGTCCTTAATCCCTCACTACTTTCCACAGGAACTCATTAATTGGGTGTGACATGACAAAAAACTGGTGAATCAATTGTGAGTAAATCAGGGTCAAATAAAGAAAGGGAGCTTTGGGAAATGTCTTTCTGGAGCCTAGTGGATTATTCCAGCGTGATGCCTCAATTATCCCAATTACTTAACACAAATATCTGGGAAATGGCTTACTGAAAAAGTCCCCAGACCTTATCATGAGCTTAAGTTAGTGTCACAGGCAGGCAAAATTCCTGATTCTAGCTACTTTTTTATGTAACCAAAGTTTTGAACTGGCTCCCCACATAGCACAAGAGAGGAGTCCACAAGGTGCACTGTCCTGAATCCAAAAAATTCACACAAACCCCTATCCAGCTCTTTGGGCAACCCACATATGAAGAATCACTTCCAAGTAGTAACATCTTTATTCAGGAGCTTGTTTCAGAATTTACTACAGGCTCTGCGGCAATTCAAACTTTCTCAAAGGAATTGAGTGCCCTCTGCTGGTGACTATATAGCATTGCTATTGTTTTACTCCCGATGCACAGACTCTGAAAACACATCACGTGACACCACTGTGGTTCATGGAAGTAGTTATTTTATACAGGCACTGGGATTGGTTGAATTTTTAAATGTTTCATGATTCCTGGGTTCTTAATAAAAAATTATTTTTTAGTTATTTCTCTCAATTATAAAAACTAAGGAAACATTTTGAAGCTCTGAATGTACTGAGAGGATTTTCTTCCCATTTCAGAATGGAGTGGTCATGGAGTGTCACCGGGGAGGTCACATGGCCCGGGGAGAGGACACGGTTTGGAATCCACTGACTACTTGAGTGATTTAGAACAAGTTTTTAACTTGAAACAAATTAACTTTAACTTGGAACAAGTCATACACAGTCACAAAGGACAGTAATATCTAACTAAAAAGTGAACTGCAGGGCTAGAGACCACTCCTCTGAAACACACAGAAGGGTTCGGTTAGCCATGGCTGTCACTACTATCACTTATATTCTTATGAAGTGGGTAGATCCTCAACCCAGATTCTCTGTGTCCAGAGGACAGAGGCTGCCTCTCTATTAGCGTCTGGCTTGGCCTGAGTCACAAAGGCAGCACTTGCACTGGGCACCCTAGTCTAAAACCACACCATGATCAATGATGCTGGCTTCATGAAATATACTTCTCACTGGGTGCATCTGGACAATTTTAAGTTATCAAAGTCCCCTTACATCCATCTTGCTAATCCTAGCCACCACTGTATTTTCCTTGAGCCAGTGCAAAGCTTTCCAAATTAAACCTTTTCAGTTCTACTGCGCTGTATTGCAGCTGCAATTAGAAATATGTGGACACTGGGGTGTCCTTTGTCTCTTAAGGAGACTCACAAGCATTAGCACACTCATGAATGACTTCAAGTGGGTGAGGACCTCTACTCTTCAGTCCTTCTGGGTCGCTATTGCTAGCCTTAGATGCCAACAGGGCCCTTGAAGGTGGTGGCCCCAATGCATGGGTGTCTTTGCCACAGCTGGAAGACTCAGTGTCAGCTTCAGGTCTAGGACTGGGCTGTTTTTTCCTTCAGTTATCAAAGGACAGGCACTGTGGGGTCTTTATTCTGAGATGAATGATTCTAGGCAGGATATTGATGTGTAGTAAGATTGGCCTGCATATTTCTGGATTACCGAAGAGTTGTTACAACTGTTTCTGGTTGAAAACCAAAAATCAGTTAATTTGTTTTTTATGCATTTTTCAATGAGGGATATAGAAATATAAGGCATGAACTCTTCCTGCAGAGTTTACAATCTGGGTAGAGGACAAGAAAGACACTACTTTACCCAGGCAAACAATTCCAGGAGATAAACGTCTGTGAATGTGTTTTGCAAAATACAAATTCTTAGACAAATGTATAACCACTGAGTTCACAGTGTTTCAGTTATATCTTCAAGGGCTGTATCATGTCACTGGATAAAACCAGTGTTCCAAGTAGTCAAAGATCTTATTCCAGGGGCACCAAAGGAGGCTGTAGGGACATAGGGCAGAGGTAACTATCAGACAATTTTTTAATGGGTAAACGTATTCAAAGTTTGAAAATACCTTGGGGAATCTTAGGAATCCTAGCAGTCAATGAGTGGGTTCTTTACATATCCATTATATCTACAAGCTCCACTCACATTCACTTAGATTGCTTCTTAGGGCGGGGTACACAGGAAGTCAATAATTCTTGTATCAGCTCCTCTTTGCCTTTTCCTCTCATATCTTTAATCACCTGTGTCACAGGACACACATAAGTAGTGTGCTAAACTCTGATAGTAAAGCAAAACTAGAATTAAAGGCAAATATTTATCCAAATCATGTTCAAATACAAGCTAGTGAATGAAAAACTTAGGTTCAAAGAGCCAAATACGCTGCATTCCTAAGAAGTATCAAATCAGTTTCTCCCTCTGTAAGGATTTCTACATTGTACTTTTTCGCTACAAACTAAGCAGGCATGCATTTTCTGATCTACCACTAAAAGATCTGAATTAGGAGACAGAAAAAAATTTTTGCATCTATGTATTTTTTTTTCCAAATCCATCAATGAAAAAGGAGTCAGGGATCAGTTCCCTATGGGGGGAACATTCTCATGGAGGTACTGTAAGGCTAAGTCTGTCCACTTCATTTCTTGTTCTTTAACAGATTCTGTGGTGCCACCGTTGTCCTGTTCAGGTTCAGGAAGCTCGTTCTGAAAAGGTACAATGGCCAATCAGAATGATGGTATACTTTACATTAACAAACCCCTTAAAACTCAAGCGCTCTTAGATTGAAAGTCTGCTCAGTCCTAGAAACAAAGGGCATAAGTGAAAGAAGGGCATTCTGAAGGAAGAGCTAGAATAAAAAGATATGAGGAGAAATCAGAAGCAGCTCTCAAAGTGTACCCTGGTCCATGTCCAGTAGGGGATGACAATGTGATGACTCCAGCACTTGCGCAGAAGGCAGTGTGGCAGAGGTGAAAGGTACAAACTCCCAGAAGTGACTGGGATTTGAGTGTATGACTCCACCATTTAATGGGTAACCTGGGCAAGATACTCAAACTCTTGGAGTCTTCGTTTCTTCTTGAGAGAAAAATAGTAGCCATCGCCATGAAGGACTGCTATCAGTACTAAACAGGTAGTTTAGTCAAGGGTAAGTATAGTTTTCAGTATTCTGCATCCATTACTCAAGGTATATTTGTTTTTATTACTACTGAGTAGGAACACTGAAATAAGCTGACACTAAATCTTTTTTTGGGTGGGAGGCTGCTTTAACACAATACTACATTGGCTGGTATATTCCTTAAGTACAAGAAATGTATTCAGAAACTATCTTGTACTCAACATGCCTATATAATAAAAGAGGTAAGTGGGGCACACTAAAAAGAAACAGAATAGCGATCTCTCCCTGGTGGTGAAGCAGAGTAACATGCAATATCGTAAATGGCCATCCCATGTTGTTTTAGCCGTTTTCTTAAAATGGTAAACCATGGGCCACACTTAAAAAGAGTAAAATCTGGAATAGTTTCCTTATATATTGATTTGCAAACTTTATTGAGAAATTTTCATATAACATTGTGTAAGTTTAAGGTGTACAACATGATGATCTGAATCTTAGGTTACAAAATGATTACCACAGTAAGGTTAGTTAATACATTCATCACCCCACTCAGTTACCTTTTTTGTGCGTGTGATGAGAACTTTTCCCCTGATATTTTAAATTTAAATTTATTACTACCAGGACTCTGGACCAGAGTTCACAGATACATAAAATCATGAGATAAATAGCTGTTTTAATTAACTATATTACTTTTTTTTAGGTTAGCAAACTATTACTTAATATCCATACTTACCATTTCTCACTAGATTCCAATTTACAGTTCATGTATATATACATATATAGAATTTAAAATCATGCTCAATATATATGAAGCAATTTACTTAAAATATGCACAAGTATATCTGAATCACATACATCGTGCTCTACAAACAGAAGACTGAGATTCAAACAGAACAAATTAAAAAAAAATCATTTATTACAAAGCGATAAAACAATCAAACTTAAAGTTTGGCTCCAAAACTTACTTACAGCTGACAAAACATAAACAGGACCTTGGTTAATTAATTGTTTAAATCAGAGGTAGCAAGTTTGCTTCATTTCGTCCCATTTGTGGTAAGCTTTCTACAATACAGTTTTCATATTGTAATGCCAACAAAAAAAATTACATGTGCTTGGGAAATAATGTATCATAAACATAACCATCTGTTATGGTATACTACAAAAAGGGTTGTAATTCTTTGCAACTACTCCTATGAAAAGGTCCAGTCTATTTCCCCCATCTTGGATTTGAGTAGCCATGTGGCTTGCTTTGGCAGAAAGAAAGCAGCTGCAGTGCCCGTGGGCCAGGTCCTAACCTAACCTAGGCTCCATGTGGCTTCAGTTTCTTCTTACGCTACTCCTACAACCTGGGAGGCCATATGAAGAAGTCTGGACTAATCTGCTGGCTGGCTGAGAGACAGTGGCCGTAGTCACCTCATCATGCCAGCTCACTGTCTGCTAATTGCCAGGTGTGTTCAAGTGTCCTGAGTTACCTCCAACCAGCCTGCTCCTGGCTGACTACAAAACACAACCATCCAGCAGAGACTGGCAAAGCTGGTGAGGACCAGCAGACCCTATTAGTTAAGCTATAAAATCATGAGATAAATAGCTGTTTCAAGCCACTACATTTTAGGATGATTTGCTATGCAGCAGAAGCTGATATACCGCTCAGAATCACAAGACATGGGAAAAGCCAGGGATTAGCTGCAGAACCAGGCTATACTGGAAGTCAACACACTCACTCTCCAAGTCCTGTCATAAACATACCCAGAGTTTGGCAATTCCCCTCCACTTTCTCACTTTTGTTCAGGTCCCTCTTGCTTGCCTAGACTACTGCAATAACTGGTGTCACTATCCTGTCACTTACCCCTTTCTCCATATCAAACATTCTCTGATAATGCTGCAAAACTTACTTACTGAAACAAAATTTCACCCCGGCAGACTTCTATTCTGAAGACCCCTCATTCCTGGATGTCCCCAGGATGAGGTCTAAGTATGGGAAAAACACTCCTTTTGAAATCTGGTTCACACCCAACTTACCTGCCTCCTTCTGTGACAAATATTCTCCCTGTCCACACTGAATGCCTCATCAGGTCCCAAAGTATTTCAAAACTCTAAGCCTTTGCACATATGTCCTTTCTGCTGGAGTGTCCCTGTCTACCCCCACTAAACTTCTGGGTTTCCCTTATAACCAGTATAAGTATGACATTTCTCCAAAGCCATCCCTAATGCTCAACAGACAATTAGCCACTTCCTTTACTATGTAGTTGTTCACAAGTACTACTTAGAGCACTTATTATAATTTTTATTTATATATGCTGCCTCGCTAGACCCCAGGGGCAGAAACTGTTATTTTATGTTCACCTAGTCCTATGGCACACAGTAGATTTAAAAAAAAAAAATGCCTGTCTAATGAAAGGGCAAATGTTTGTCAAATGAACAAAAGTTCTCAGCATCTATAATCTCACAGACCTAGGTGTAAAGTCCAAGTTATCAGTTACCAGCCTCTTGGGCACATGCCCCTCTGATCCTATCTCCTCCCTATAAAATGGAATTTTCGGGTTTTTTTGCAAGGTTGTTTTAAGGAATAGAGATTCAATGTCAGATTTCAACATTGGTGTATGGTATAAAACTGTTATTGAATAAATGGCAGTTATAATTCTTAATATACTCTTTTTTGGGTATTATTTTCCTAAACTAAGTTGTGACTTATTCGTTGAACACATTATTATCTCTTATTCTGAAATGAAAATGTGGGTGAGTTGAATTTTATTTCTCTATAAATAGTAGAAGCATCAGTCTACCAGCAAGCTTTTATTAACAGCTCTTTTCAGGGCAATAGGCATGCTTTAAAGAAAAACAGTCCCTAGGGTCTATTCTCCTTGTTCTATGACATAAATAGGACTTTTAATAAGCATTCATACAAGCAAAACTTAACCTTCTTGCAGGACAGTTTTCCAAAGTTTAGGAAAAAAGAGTATTCCAGGAGACTATTGGTCTAAATGCAAAAGAAAAGCCAGGTATGTTCCCTGAATGTGAACTTCTAGAAAAATGCCAACAGACTGACAAGCCACAGGTAGAGAAGAAACATAGCTTATATGCCTCCGTTTTTTTCTCCTTACCACTTTATGCATTAAACTCTCATCAGGCTTACTAGTTTTGGCATGGTGGACAGAACATACCATGGTTCAGAAAACTTGGGTTCCAGTCATGGTAGGATCTCTAAGTGAGCCAGTCATGTCAACTGTCTGAACCACATTTCATATCTCAAGTAAAAGACTGTGCTAGATGCTCTCCAGTGGTCTCTAGAGTTAAGAGGACACCACAGCTTTCATTCCTTGGTTTTAATAGTTTATCTGTTCATTAATATCCCACCTCTATGAGGGTCTCCCAGATGATACATTTAACCTATTCTCAGCACAAATCATAACCTACCAGTGGTATGGCAACATCTTCATAAGGCAGCTTGTCTTCTCGCCAAGCATCATCAATCAAATCCAAGATCCTTCCATCTCTTTGTACTTCACTGTCCATTCTCTTGCAGTTTCAATCTTGTCAGATCTATAAATCAAATAGATTATATCTTAAATATGAGGACTGAGGAGATGGTATAATCCAGAACTAGGATTCCTTAGGATTTTTTAGCCAGGAGGTGTCTTTTGGCATAACATCACTAGGGTTAAGACTCCTCTGGTCACTTGACAACTTAATTATAAGAGCATGATCTCTCTTCCTCTCAAGCAGAAGTATAGACCAGACAAACACAGTGAAGCTAATAGACCAGTCTCAGAGTATGACAAGGGGCAACACATCTGAGGGCCTTGTTTACCAGACCACAGTAGATCTGGAATGCAGCTTTTCTCTCCTAATTTTCACATTCAACTTTCCTGTTCCAGATGCTTATGATGTGTCTCTGATTCATAACTAAGTCACTTTTCTGGCCCCTCTAGCCTCTTCTGCACCATTTTACAAAGGTTTCCACCTGCCTTGGCTCCTATCTTGGTGCTCTTAAAGGCAGGAGCTAATGAACATTCTGAATATGCCAAGTGATCAACCACAGACACAAATCCTCAAGACAAGATGTTGGCAATTATACTTGTTAGGCAACTGGTTCCCTTCTTAATATAGCAGCCAAGTTGAGCTCTGAAAGGATCACCTCCGGGTGAATAATAGTGGAAAGAACCCAGTTTCTGTGCGCCATTGGGGTTCCTTCCCAATTCTTAATGCTGTCCTGGTTTCAGTGCCTAACCCAAGTGGTCTAGATGCTTACTTAGCTCCTTGATCATGGCCGATTCCCTGTTGTTCTCCTAAACTGCTGCAGATAGCTTGGAAGGTAGCTCTGGGTTCCCTGAATCTGACTGCAAGATGGCCAGAATACTTGGGTCATAATTATATAGGTTGGGGTGGAAGAAGGATTTTTATGCCCACTAAAGAAAAAAGTGCCCAGCTACTTGTGCCAGTAATGAGCCAAATGAGGCCTGTTTCACTCAAGAATTAATCCAGTACTTTCTGGTATAATTCAAAGTGAAACAACCCGTCATTAGGAAAGATACACACCAGGTGTCCTACTCTCAGCTTCAGATACAATTTTGGAATTTTTGTTCTACAAACAAAAATTTCCTGCTGCCCTCCTTTTTCCTACTGCCAGTCCTCTGTCCTCGATGCTCTGAAATAACCTTCTCCCTGCTCAAACCTGCTGATTTTCCCAGGACTACACAGATTTCATCTTTTTGTAATTTTCTCAAATCACTCCATCTGTCCTGGAAAGCTTCGTGTTTTTATGATCCATAAATAACTTAAGCCAGTTTTGCGACCAAATGTTCAGGTATTACTGTCTCCAACGGTAATGTGTACATTTTGTGTGAGTGATTCTTTAGCACACCTTTCCCCAATTTGACTTCAATCTTTTTTCACCTGCCCCTCTTCCAAACACTTCTGTCACCCTTCCCAGCCTTTGCGCTTAAGTCTCTTTCCCCCAACACTAAAACCTGCTTTTCCTTCCAAATTCAACACAGGCATCAGCGCAGGGGTCCACATCATATTTCCAGAGTTAAGGTGCCGAAAGGCTAGGCTGTTACTAGACAGGCAGAACACCGTCACTGTTCCAAGCACTTGTCAGGCTTGGCAGACTAAACCACCCACCCATTTCCTGAACACACGCCTTACACATGTGGCAGTCCCAGAGTCTGGAAGTCTCTTTATTCTTCCTTTTCCCCCAGCTAACTCCTCGTCAGTCTAAAAACGTAGCTCTTGGGTCGCCTCCTTCCCCAAATCTTCTCCTAGACCCAGGCGGAGCGCGGTTACCCGTCTCTCCGCCCACCCCGCGCTGGCCTGGGCGCAGTAAACGGACCCAAAGGGGAGCTCGTGACACTGCCCGAGGCAGGCGCAAGTTTTATCCACCTCTGTGCTTTCAAGCTCTGTAAACACAAATTTACACGATGAAAACAGGAAGGCCTTGGCCCCGCACTAGAATTGACCCTCGCAGGCCACCACCCTCCGTCCAGGTGCGTGAGCCCGCCCCCCGCCGCGGCTTCCGGCCCGAGGCTGGCTAAACCAAACGTGGAGGCGGGGGAGGTCCCGGGCCGCCGCTCCAGTCCCTTTCCGTCCGACCCTACGGGAGGTCAAAGAAGCGATCATGAGCGCGCAGTGAAGACCCCGGCCTCCGCGACGGGAGTGGGAGCAGTCCGCCGCTGAGGAAGCACGCGTGCCCGCTCCTTCAAGAGCCGTAGGCTTGGCGCGCGGGAAACCCTTACCGGCACCCGGCCCAGCGCCGCACCCGCTGACGCCAAGCCCCGCCTTCAGCGTCATGTGACTCGCCCGCCTACGCGTCGATGCCCGGATGTGGGTGAGCCCATCGGCTTGCGCGGGGGGGCAGTCTGGGAAGACGTTTCAATTAAAAGTGAGAGGGCGGTGGGCGGAACGAACGTGCCGACGCCAGAGCCTGGACGTCAGGTTGGCGCTGACGCGCGTGCGCGCCGCCGGGGGCGGGGGAGGTAACGGCGGGAAGGCTCGGGGGCGCGCTCGCGGCGGCGCTGTAACCGCATGTGCGCACGTAGGACTGTCGAGGGCTGGGCATGCCCTGGGCCCGGGGCCGCCGAGGCTCCGGGGATGCCGCCCGCCGTGCGGCGGTGTGGGCCCGGGCTGCTGGCCACCGCCGCCCGCTGGCCTTCGGCCCGCCCCCGCCGGCCCGGGTCCGCTCTGGCTCTCCGCCCGCCGGCCTCGCCGCGTACGCCCAGCCCACCTGCGGAGGCGGACGTGGCCCTCCCCGGCGCGCCAACCGGGCCCGCCAGGTGGTCAGCCTCTCCCGGGAGGGAGGGCGTCGGGGGGGCGAGCTGCCTTCATGGCCTCATCGTCCCCGGCGGAGCGAGCCGCGGGCCTGCCTTCCTCTTCAGGGGAGGGACTGTCGGCACAGCCCTCCCGCCTAGGCTGCCATATCTGGTTAGCTTCCTAGCCTTGTTGCGATTTAGGTCGTTGACGGCAGGTGATAGTGATCCGTGTATGGCGAGGAGTTCAGCAGTTTTTTAAAAGTGGGTTGGTTTAAAAACTTGTAATGTTGGCACAGGCGGCACAGACATGTGGCAGACATCGCGAAGGACTGAAGTTGGGGAATCCCGAACTGACAGATCGCCCCACACAAATCAGGGATTGGAAATAAAAAGTGGGCTTCAAAGGACGGTTCCTTAGGAACATTTTTATTATGAAGATATTTGAAGAGCGTAAATCTAGAATGTGGTTTTTCTTAAGTCCCTGATGAGCCTGATGTCAGCGACTGGCCTACATTTGTGGTGATAGTAGTTATTTGCACAAGGTAGTTTCCTTGAGCTTTGCAGCTGATTCCTTAAACCAGTTTATTATTATTATTTATTATTTATTTATTTATTTATTTATTTATTTATTTATTTATTTATTTATTTTGTGGGCCCCTCGCCGGCGGCTGGGGAACGAACCGGCGCTGCAGAGGCTGCGGGCAGCCTCGCAGCCCGGTGCTCAACCGCTGCGCCACCAGGGGAGGCCCAACCAGTTTTTTATTTTTTAATTATTCCTTTTAATAAAGTATGTGTTGGGTAGGTGCCCCCCCAATGCTTACTTTGCTTTATAGACAAAAGAGATCATAGGGCTCATCCCATGAGCTTCAATATTTACATTTATATTTAGCTGTGCGTATATATTTTCTTGAGTGTTTATCCCTAGCTTGCCCTTTGACTATCATTATCAGTGATCAGTACAGTAAAAAAAGGCTGACATTAAAATGGGTTAGAGATTTGTAAACCTTCAGATAGCGTTAGGACCTCTTTACGTGTGTAGACTCATAATTTTTAAATTATTGGTAATTGTTATACTGATGCCATTTTCCTCTCATTGGAAGGTAGAAGACCTTTACTTAGTCCTGGTTCTCATGTGGTGTGGTGACTGATGATGACAGCAGCCAGTCTATTATGTCAGTTTCCGGCTTTAAAAAAAGAAGTCAACTTGATTTGAAATTCACCTAAAGCTGACATTGACATAGATCTCGAGAATTGAGATTTTGATTTTTTATGTTACTTTAGGATTTTTCCCTCTCCAAGGACCTAATTTTTTTTTCATTAGAAAATCCATAGTGCTGTCATCACAGATACACAGATTAATATAAAATCTGTAAATGTCAGTATTCAGTCTATGTTCAGAGTTACCCAGTTACACCATTATCTTCTTATAAGTTTACTTGTTTGGATCAAAAGCCTGTAGAAATCCACGTGTGGAATTTAGTTGGTATACCTTTTAAGTCTTTTAATATGGCAGTTCCTGACCTCCCATTTCTCCCCTGAATATTCTAAATTTAAGTGCATTTTCTCTCTAGTTAGATCTAGAATTGCAATGTCCTGTATAGTAACCATCAGTTATCTGTGGCTATTTAAATGAATTAAAATAATATTCCATTGGTAGATAAATATTCAGCTGGTCCCCTATTGATAGACAGTTGTGTTTTCCTACAATTATAAATAGTGCTACAACATACAGCCTTGTGCATGGTGATTTTGTATTTTTGCTGTGTATCTTTGGGATAGATTCCTGGGATCAAAGGGTAAATGCATAGATATTAGTTGTTAGGTATTGCCCAGATCTCTATAGTAGTTGTGTCATTTTGCACTCCCACCCACCATGTATGTGAGTGCCTGTTTTCCCCTAGCCTAGTCGTCAGAGTAAATTGTCCAACTTCTAATTTTTGATTAATCTAATACAGAAGAAAGAATAACCCAGTGTAGTTTCAATTAGTATTTTCTAATGTGAAGCAAGGTTGAGCATCCTTTTCAATGTTTAAGATCATTTGCATTTTTTTTTTTTCTGGGCAATGGTAACATTTATTGTTTATTCGAGCAGCCACAGTTTATTAGTCATAATATATCTGTCAGTCCAGGGTGTGTGTTTGCAATAACACCAAGACCAGTAGAGGGCAGAGCATTGCTATCTTCTTTTAAACAATTCTTGCTAGGTAGGCACATCCCATCTTTCAGCATACATTTATTCATAATTCTATCCAGAGTTTTAATTTTCTCTCACTGTCCTATTTTATGAGTAATTTGATCACGCTCATATAATATGAATATTTTTCCTGATCTGTAAAACAAAAAAAGGTTAAATTGGAGACTGTTAGGTCCTTTCTAGCTCTTAAGTTCCAATTCGTTAATGAATTTCAAAGATTTGTCCATTATCAGATAATCCTGTTTGGACTCTTTTCCCTCTAAGATATAAAGTATGTTTTTCCTTGCTTCTTACACTTGGTGAAAAAGGCCTGTATTTCTTTTAATCATTCTAGACCAGATTTCACTGATTTAAAAGTCTTCATTCCAAAGGACCATTACAATAAATAATGTCTGTTGATATGCTTGTGTAACTACGGAAATACTCAGATTGTCCTATATTAATTGTAGAGCTACAGTTTCCATTTAATGTTAGTAGCAATTGGTAGCGGATCATCAGGCTGTAATTACTTAAATATGTATTTAATATGAAAAAAGAATGTCTAACTGCAGAATTATCACATGGTGCAGGCAAAGAAGAATATAGAATGACATACTACATATAGTTGAATGAGGGTCAGCTTGGTCAGGAAAGGAATCACTGATGTAGCTATGACAAACTCAGAAAAATCAGTCCTTTATTTACCTGATCCTGAAGGGGCACTGATGGTGTTGGTGTTTGGCAGCTACTCAAGCAGCCTTCTGGTATTGTTAAACACCTCACATTAGTAAGATTAACTTTACCCTCCCCCTTTGCCTTTAAAAAAATAAATATAGAGGGCGGAGCAACATGGCGGCGAGGAGACGCTGCGAGTAAGATCTCCCATTAAAAAAAGTTAATAGGGAGGAAAAGCGGCAGGTCCCAGTGAGAACTGGGACACGGAAGATAAACGGACGACTCCAGCAAACTGCCCGAAGAAGAAAGTGGCCATAAAAGAGGACTAGAAGGGAGGGAAGCGCAGAACCCTGCTCCCCTCCCCCGCCCACAGAGGCAGCACTCTCCGACCGGCAGAGAGGAGAAAAACAACAAACCAAAACGGCCAACAAGAAAAACGGACACAGCAAGCGGGACTGTGAGTGGAAAGGAACTATTGCAGCCACCACACCCCGCGAACGGGAGCTGAGGCGAACCCTGCAGGATCCGCCGCGGAGGTGAGCTCCAGGTGCCATTAAAGAGAGCCCCGCCCCCCCAGGAGGAGACCAGCCCCAGCACACAGCCCCGGCCGCCCGGTAAGCTTGCGCGGAAAGTGGCGCGGATCCAGACCGGATCGCAGCTGCCCAGGTCCCCGCGCCTGCGACCTAGGCTTGCGGGGAGACGGCGGAGGCCCTCCCTGAGTGAGCAGGAACAAGGCGCCCAGGCAGGGGAGCGGGATTCAAAAGGCGCCATTCCCGCGCCACTGATCTGGGCTACAGCCCGCGTCCTGGAACTGAGGGCTTTGGAACTGAGACCCGGGGCACGAAATTAGGGGCGTGGGTTCCCCACGACGGTGGGGCACAAGGCAGACACAGCACCCCAAAGCCTTTGAGGTGTACCCTACCATCCCCGCTCTGCTCCCTGTCCCACGGGGTGGAAAATCAGCTCCCCAAGGGCTCTAGGAGAGATCTCTGGCGCCACCTAGCGACTTGACCCCAGCACAGGCTACTGAAGGAGCTAGTGGCCAGCTGGGGAGTTAGCCCACACCTGGCTCCTTCCGAACAAGTAGTCTGAGCCCACAGGGAGAGCGAGCACCCACAGCCGGGGCAGACCAGGCGCGCAGAAGAGTGTGCCTGAGACCAGACGCGCAGGGAGTGTGTCCCACATCACCATTTTAGAACAGGGACATTTCTTCAGTAAAGACTACCTGCA